TTGTAAATTATTTTTTCTCATAATGGGTTGTACCTGCACACTTTGTTTTAGTGATTTGGTCCATAGCAAAAGGGTTACAAAGGTATGAGGATTTGCTTCTGTTTTCTTTTCTGGAAAGTGCAAGAATGTTAAATTTGTAGTTCCCAATTTGAATCATTAGGAAAAGAAGGAACTTGTAGCTGGAAATTCTGAAGAGGAGGCAAAGTGGATTGCGGGAAAGGAGTAATGGTTTCTGCAAGGAAATCATAAGAGAGGAAAAAGAAGATGAGAGAGTAAATCTAAGACTTGAAACCAGTGATGCCTGAGATACGTGAAGCAGAGGCTGACAGAGAGGAACAAGGCTCTTGAAGTCAATGTCCCCCAGGAATTTGGATGGGGGACAGTACAGGAAAAAATTCATTTTGGTGCCCAGCTGGTGTGGCTCAGTGGTTTAGCATCGACCTTTGAACCAGGAGATCACAGTTTGATTCCCTGTCAGGGCACATACCCCCGGGTTGCAGGCTCAATCCCAGTAGGGGGTGTGCAGGAGATAGCCATCAACGATCCTCTCTCATCATTGATGTTTCTATCTTTCTCTCCCTCTCCCTTCCTCTCTGAAATCAATAAAAATATTTTAAAAAATCATTTTGGTATATGTGTCATCTGCACAAAACAACACGTGTTTACATGCCTCTCATTGAAATTGGTGAGAGGAAGCTCCTGGTAAGCAATAAACAATAAATAAAAACTAGCTTTTTAGTAGCCATTATTGGTATCTTAGGTAAGAAGCAATTCCCACCATTTTTATTGGGTGTTTCTGTCTTCTGTTTTACTGGAGTGCACATAAAAATATTTATGGTTTTATCATTCACTCCTCATCTTAGACTTCCTTATCCCTCTTTCACCATGTAGCCCTAAATCCATCACCTGCTAATTGCCTTGATATAAGGGATTTCAGGAACCTATTCTCTAAATTTGGAGAGAGATTACTGTATTTGATACTTTGATAAAGTTAAAAATCCACTGAATGTGAGGTCTTAGTAAAGGACACACACTTGGGATAAAAATGAGGATTTGTCAGTGAAATGACTTTAATAAATCTTTTTTATTCTCAACTTCAGGTTTCTCCTGTGCAAAAAGGGGGTAGTATTAGATGAAGCCTAAGGCTTCTCTTACTCTTGTTTATGTTATTGACAGTCTGAGGTGCTTTTCTCGGGGTAGCAGGTACCCTACATTTGAAGGTGAAGGTCTGTATTTAATTTCTCAAGGGCACCAAGTATTTTGAAGTATTGAGTCTCAGGTGTTAGTCCACTTAATACATTGCCAATCCCTGGATATACTTTAATAAAGTGGTGATTCTGTGTTTATTACCAAGGAATTAATTCTGCCTTCAGAATTAACTGGGAAGGCTGCACGGCCACCAACATAAAACTCAGTAGTTGGTTATTGATATGTTGGTCCCTTTAATACATTTCACAGCTCAGCCTAGAAACCAGTGTCATACTGAAATGTAGACCTAGATGGCTTGAATGCAACTGGCCAGTCTGTTCTTGTCGTTTGGGGAAGTCATTGCAAAAGTCCTTGTTCCTTTTTTTTGAAAAGGATAAGAAAGCCTTCCTTATCTACTTTTGTGTGTGTGTGTGTGTGTGTGTGTGTGTGTGTGTGTGTGTGTGTGGTTGAAGTTGGAAACAGTTAACTGAGGTTGTAATATTCTGAAAATCTTTGGGCAACACTTTGGACTAGAACAGAAAGGTTGGTGAATTTTGGATCCTGTACCAGAAACTTGAATCTTAAGTATCAAAAGACTGATTAGAGAGTCTGTGACTAGAGTTAGGGGAAGCAAATCCTGTTTAATAAAATATTAAATATGAATATTGCAGCCCAGGTAAAAATGAAACTACATCAGCAGAAAATCATTTATATGGCACTTATTGTTTACATTAAATAATTTATATGGACAATATTGTTTAAGGAGGGTGGCCTAGTTCTTTGGACCATTTTAGAAACTGCATCACATAATAATACCTTAAATAATCTATTGTCATTAATATGTGTGCATATATTCTATGCTTATCACATCAAATGATATGAAGTCATGTCATTTGAATTTTTTCCATGTATATGTATGACAGTGAGAGGAAGCACAGCTGTGACAATAGCTGTTTCCTTAGGTTGCCCACACCATTTTTTACCAGATAAATTATATTTGGCAAGTTGTAAGAGTGTCATCAAGGAACACAATTTTCTTTATTTCAGTTATCTAAAATATTTTCATTTTGCAGGAAAGACATGAATCTATTGATATGATGCAATCCTTACTTGTGAATTTTGGGAAATAAACAAATAATTGAATGCTTCCCCTACATTTTAGGACTACATACTCCCTTGCCATTGATGTATTTCCCACTACAGATGTGATGAATTCATGCTGTCAATTAGCAGTATATTAACTTTAAAAAAAATTAGCTTCATTTTGAGTATTTTTCAAGTGTTCTTTTCTAGTTGTATGAGAAAACCTAAAGAACTAAAACTATTGATTTTAGAGAAAGTCAACCTTTGTGTGAACAAATAAACTTCAAAAAAATGAATGACATAAAATTGATGAAATTTTAATTTGCTTTTTTTTTAAATATTTTATTGATTTTTTTTTACAGAGAAGAAGGGAGAGGGACAGAGAGCTAGAAACATCGATGAGAGAAATCGATTATCAAGTGTTCTTTTCTAGTTGTATGAGAAAACCTAAAGAACTAAAACTATTGATTTTAGAGAAAGTCAACCTTTGTGTGAACAAATAAACTTCAAAAAAATGAATGACATAAAATTGATGAAATTTTAATTTGCTTTTGATATTCCAAATATCTTGACTTAAAATTCATTTTATTATTAGATTAACTAATACTTTTTGAGTACAGAAAAGGAAAACTCTTACACTTTTTGCATATAGGGCATAGTAAATTGGAGAAACATTGCTAATGCCATTAATAATCTGAAATAAAAATTATAGCAATAATTTCCCAAGTAGAGACTCCTTTAAATAGTGTAGCACTAGAATGTACAGTGTTAAGGAACACCTCAAGTCATTGTAAAATTTATCTATATTCCAGAAACAAAAGACTCCCTAGGCCAGTTTCACTCTGTTGAATATAAACATCAAACTTTCACAAAGTGACCTCTAGCTGTAGCTCAAAATAGTTGGCATTTACTTCCCCATTATCATGTATGATATTAGCAAGCATAACACAACTATTGTTGACTGAAAATAAACTCTTGCGTATTTAGAGAAAATAGGAATTATAAAGTTTTACTTTGAGTAGACTTTACAAACTACATTTTGGGCTTCCAATTTTTAAGTTGTTTTTTTTTTTTAAAGGAAAGCAAACAGATAATTCAGTATTCCAAAAACAGAGTCCCACATTACCTATGGTCTTTACAACATACTACTAATGGAAAAAAGTAAATTTGTGTAAGAAAGTCTTAAGGGACAATAACTGCTATAACTACCTATGAACTTGCTACTTCTCTAAAGTATATCTTAATTTATTTTAGTTGAATTCCTCAAGTGAAATGTCTCTAAGTTCTTCTGCAAGCCTAACAAAAGCATTAGTTGTAAAATGACCACAGTCCCGTTGTTGTAAAATTAAAAATAAGTGGGGCACTGACACACAGGATACTTTCAAATCACACAAAAATGCACAAAGATAAAAAGCCAGTTATGTCAACTGTTTGATTTTTTTTAAATTAAAAAAGCTAAAAATCAACATAGGTTTGAATTAGAAACATACACACTCAGAAAATTCACAACTAAGGAAAACTCAAACACTTAAAAAAATTTACAAACTGTATATTTCAAGTATGTGGGATATATACATCATTAGGTACAAGTTTGAATAACAATCTTATTTACAATGAAAACTATAATGAAATATACCAGTGAAAACAAGGCTCTGAACAATTGAAGAAGGCTAAAACTTAAATTGCTCATTTAGCTAAATTGTTCTTAACATAAGAGAAATAACCATCTTTTCAAAAATTCCTATCTGTTGAATGTAAACAAGGAACTAGCCTTGACTTCTAAAACTGATAAATAGGAAGAATGAAAAAGAGAACATCTTATGAAAATAATGATGACAAACAGTGGGAATTTTGGTGAAAGATTCTTTTAACTCTAAGGATAAAGAAATTGAGGAAAAATATTCAGGCACAGAAAAAAAATTTAATAGGAATAGCCACTGGGCAAAAAGAAAAGCTCAAGGCCTTTTGGAAAAATAATACTATTTAAAACACACTTCTCCGTATTGCGTATAAAGTATTTTTTGTCAGTTTGGAACCTTATCTTTTTCCATATTTCATAAGATAGGTAATTTAAAATGAAGTGAAGCCAATGGTTTGACACATTATCTAGAATAAGAACAGCAAAAAAAATTATCATAAATTGTTTTTGAGTTTCACTATAAGCAGTCACAAATTCATGGCCTATTAGAGTATTTGCCAAAATGAAATGTATATGTAAATTCTTTAAAAAAAAGAAATTCATTAGGTTTTTAGAATGTCTTAACTTTCTTAATGAGTGCTAGTGACAATAAGTATTGTTCTAAGAAATAATAACCATCTATTGATTGAACCTTATTTCTATTAAATGTTCCTGATTCCTTGTTGAAACAAAGTGTGTTATTGTTTAAAAGGTTCTGAGCTGTTCTTCAATTATCTAAATAAATCTACGGCCTAAAACAAATATTTACTTCAAACCCACAATTTAAAAAAACCACACACAGCTAAAACACAAATCATGCAGTGGCTTACCTAAGAGAAGGAGGTATATTTTGCACTGAAAGACCCCAACAGTACGGCTGAAGGGCTCCATGAAAGCATCCTGCCCCATGTATACGGTGCCCTGTTCCTAGTGGCCACTTGGTTCATGGACCAGCAGCTGCTGGTTTATTTGCTAGGGAAATTAGCAGTGAGGTAACAGACCCTATCCTGCCTCTTGCTTCTGTGATTTGAATACAGAATGAATGTGTATACAAAGGACACAGGGAGTGGGAACACCTGTTATGTGTTCTGCAAGAATACTGGCGTATGACTTTCAGAACAGCTTCTTAGCAATTATCAGTAATTGTCAATATATTTGATGAATTATCCTTAGTTATTAATAATCACATGAAGGAAACACCCTTTTTGGTGACTTTATTGAAAAACAGTATGCTTTCATAATGAGAGCATGTTGTGAAATAGCCTGAAAAACAAAAAGCTGCTTTCCTATCATGCAAAACTATGCTACTATTTTGAAATTAAAAATTTTCTATGAAAATTGAAGTATTTCATAGACCTGCTAAACAGTCACAAATCATCATGAAGTCACTAAATAACATGTAGAAGTTATACCAAAAAATCAAAATGGGGCACCTGAAATGTCTTTAGAAATGTATTTTTCTATGTAGTATTTCCTATTACACATTTCTGCTATGATTTTGTTGAATCTATGGATTCATGTTATTTTTAAAACAAACCACAGGTGTGTTTCCAAGTAACACTGGATTGTGGGCTGGTATAGTTATAATGAAAAAAAAAAGCCTATGCCAACAGATAATATCTGAGGCCACATTTTTACCGCAGAAGCAGAGAGGAAGTGAACCCATGGTCCGGAGGTCTGACCACCGCTGCGGTGTCTGGGCCCCAGCTTCTCAGCCTGGCCTCGTCACTGCCATGGCAGCAGGCAGTCTGAACATTTCCGCTTAATTTACTAAGTTATAAGTTAACCCTCGTTTCATTTCATTTCTTGCAAGAAAGCTCTAGTCCAAGCCTTCCACTATATAAGATAAAAAGTATATAACCAAATGTACATCAAATGGAGCAAAATTCCTTGCATAAATTATGTTTCACAATACATTTGTGAACAATAAAAGCTCACTGAAGATGTTCAGAGATAATAATAGGAAAGGAAGAATATTCCTCAAGCATAATTAAAGGTTAAAATAAAGTAGAGTTATTTTGGAATTCACGTTTGGAAACACTTTTTGCATTAAGGCTCCCAACTCTTCCAGAAGTGCTTCTATAGGCAAAGAAAGGGAGTGCCTGTTGGAAACCAGAAGCCTCTTCGGAGGTCACTTTGTGATCTCTCCTCGCTTCAGAAAAATGACAAGAGCTCCCCCCACCCCAGGTAACTACTGTACCACAACTTTCTCTGTGCTTGCACATGGCTATTGCAGCACTTATCTCCTTAACCTCAATTACTTTTATGGCATGTTTATTTTCCCTCTAATACAGATCAGTCTTATTTATTTACGAATCCTTAGCACCTAGCATAGTGCTTAACTAGTATTTTTGTTAAGTTGTTCCAAATGCTCTTTAGCCCATGTCTTCTGATTCTCAGTTCATGCTTAAGAAACGTATATAAATGTTAATATTGGATTGCATAAAATACAAAATGGAAGTTCTGTAGATTTCACATGGACTATACCTCATATCTTTTAAATCAATATTAATCTGCAATTGCCTTTGTTAAATAAGCTCTTTGCAGTTTCAAACCCAGTGCTGGCTCAGGATGAAGTTCTTTGATCCTACAAAAATGAGAAAAATAAAGACAATGTAGTGAGTTTTTCCTAATGTTAAATTTACTTGATTTAAAGGATTAATATTTACTTTTTTTGTTGTTTGTTTCTTTTGGGTTATATTTAAAAATATCTGTTCTTTTCTGACAGAGGGTAACAGAGGCTATGTAAATAAATTATAAATAATATTACCAATAAATAATTGTCAAATAAATGCCAAAATTAATCATAGTTGTGATCTTTCCACATCATAGCAAATATTAATAAATAACAATACCTGTATGACACAATTCATAAAGTGCTGCCTGGTGTAACTATGACAGAGCGCCCTCTAGCAGCAGGAGTAATTTCTGAATTCTGGATGTTTACACAGGAAGCCTTACAGGTAATGTTAACATATAACTTCAACTGTTATAAATTCCTACATGATTGTTAAAAATAGGTTAAAGTGTTTTATAAGAAATGTCCCACCACCAATATCTCACATTTCACTTGTAACCCACTAGGGAGCGCTGCTCTACCTTTCTATTCAGGAGCCTGTTTATTGATCTTAGTTATATGTGCATTTACAATGAAAAAACTGATGAATCTAAAACAATCAGTATTCATGATGATTAAATTTCAAGCAATGCAAGAAGTCACTGGTGTGTGTGTGTGTGTGTGTGTGTGTGTGTGTGTAAGAGAGAGAGAAAAAGGCAGGGGGGAGAGATGGTGTTTGATGGGAAGATTTTAATCAATTGTAAGTCTGGTTTTGCTTTATAAAGCAAAAATTCTGCTACATTCATTCCAAACAGCCACATTCTTTATTTACTAGCAGCATATGAGTATTTTGCAATGGGAACAACTGGGAGGGAGAGGTCGTGAAATGACCAGGTTAATGTAGAACAGTGGGGACTAGGAAGAGCTGGGAAAAAGGAAGCACTGTCTTATGCTGTAACTAGATCCTAGGAAAGATTACAGTTTACAGGAAGAGCTGGAGGAGGCCATCACACCTGCCCATGCCTGTGCTGGTGCTCACTTCTCTATAGTTACTAGTATGTCTACAATGCTGCCTCCCAGAAGCCTAGGTATACTGATAACTCTGCAGCAATGTCTTCCTTCCTGGGTCCCTCTCCAGGTCGCTGTTTTATCTTCAGCAAGGTTTCTGTTTTCTGCTCCTGCTTGCTTAGGGAGTGCAGTTACACCATCTTGGAGATGTCACATCTTTCCACTGCTTTGATGTTTAGAGGATGATTAGAAATGTATCTTCATATATATATATCTTATTGATTTTTTACAGAGAGGAAGGGAGAGGGATAGAGAGCTAGAAACATTGATGAGAGAGAAACATCCATCAGCTGCCTCCTGCACACCCCCTACTGGGGATGTGCCCACAACCAAGATACATGCCCTTGACTGGAATCAAACCTGGGACCCTTGAGTCCGCAGGCTGACACTCTATCCACTGAGCCAAACCGGTTAGGGCTAGAAATGTATCTTCTTAATCAAACCAAGATCTCAGCTTTAATTTAAGCTCCTAGAGCAGCGGTTCTCAACCTGTGGGTCGTGACCCCTTTGGGGGTCGAATGACCCCTTCACAGGGGTCGCCTAAGACCATCGGAAAACACATATATAATTACATATTGTTTTTGTGATTAATCACTATGCTTTAATTATGTTCCATTTGTAACAATGAAATTGGGGGTCACCACAACACGAGGAACTGTATTAAAGGGTAGCGGCATTAGGAAGATTGAGAGCCACTGTTCTAGAGGCTCCTCCCATTTGGACTATCATAAATATATCCTTATCCTATTTTACTGCTAATGCTATTGTCCCAAGTCAGATCCAATTAGCTCTTAGACCTGATGTTCCAATCTGTAAAAAGGGGGTGAGCACTTCTTTATAAAATGACTATCATCCAGCAAGCTTTCCTTGAGACTTGTTGGCAGGCCATCCATACTTTCCACTACTATGCTCTAGCTTACCACTAATAGCCTTTAGGCAAGTGTGTGAGTCCTAAATAAGTCATATATATATTTGAAAAGTGGAAATGAAATAACATGCTTCACCTTTTAAAAAATGCTCTTTAGGAGGAAACCATAGGTAAACACCGGAGTTTGCTGCCTCGAACAACCACTTCAAAAATACAACTAAAAGACGGAACGGGCATCACCCAGAACCACAGGAAGGCTGGCTGAGGAGAGATTCTTCAACTAGAAGGAAAGTGAACAGCATACCGAGGCTCAGAGGAGGCGCAGTGTGGAAAATACAAAGGTGCGGAGGTGCGAGTGGAGCGGGCTAGTGGCTGAGGGCGAGGTTGTCGTTTTCAATCAGGAGGGAGTCTCAGACTCTGAGCTCCAGATCCAGGCGAGTCTCTAGGGACTCAGACTCAAACGGGAGAAGCGGGATTGTATGGCATCGGTCGGAACTCGAGGGCAGCTTTCTCTCTGAGGTTTGCAGCGGTTGCTGGGATTCTGAGAAGCAGAGCCTCTGGGAACGGCACTGAGAGCAGCCATAACTGCTCCCTCCACCTGCCCTGTTGATCCCGTTCGACCCGCCCCGCCCCACCCAAGCCCTGCGCAGAGCCATTTGCTGGATAGCCTCAGGCAAAGGCTAGATTAGCACCTCTCCAGAGGATAGAAGTTTTCCCACTGCAGACACAGCTGATTCTCACAGCCAGTCGGCCTGGAGGTCAAATCCCTCTAGTATTAACTACAACAATCAAGGCTTAACTACAAGAAGACTGCGCACAAAGACCACTAGGGGGTGCACCAAGAAAGCGTAAAAAATTCGGAGACAAAGAAACAGGACAAAACTATCAAGGGAGGATATTGAGTTCAGAACCACACTTTTAAGGTCTCTCAAGAACTGTCTAGAAGCCGCTGATAAACTTATTGAGATCTACAAGAAATCTAATGAGACCCTCGATGCTGTGATAAAGAACCAACTAGAAATTAAGCATACACGGACTGAAATAAAGAATATTATACAGACTCCCAACAGCAGACCAGAAGAGCGCAAGAATCAAGTCAAAGATTTGAAATGCGAAGAAGCAAAAAACACCCACCCGGAAAAGCAAAATGAAAAAAGAACCCAAAAATACGAAGATAGTGTAAGGAGCCTCTGGGACAGCTTCAAACGTACCAACATCAGAATTATAGGGGTGCCAGAAGATGAGAGAGAGCAAGATATTGAAAACCTATTTGAAGAAATAATGACAGAAAACTTCCCCCACCTGGTGAAAGAAATAGACTTACAGGTCCAAGCAGCGCAGAGAACCCCAAACAAAAGGAATCCAAAGAGGACCACACCAAGACACATCATAATTAAAATGCCAAGAGCAAAATAC